GACACGGCTAGTGACGTCAGACTGAACGACCGGATAGAAAATCTGTCCATTAGGCAGCCAAGAAGCCTAAAGGATTTTCTGAGATGTATTCTGCTGTGCTTCCCAACAAGGGTTTCTCCACCAAGTACTAAGTCATGTTTTGATTGGAGATGAAATACTTATTTCCCTCAATATTTTTTCTCAATGACATGCAAATCAATGTATAACTTTTGTATAATGTGACTTTTTTGAGATCTTACATGTTCGTGTTGGCTGTTGAGGTCAACCACTCGCCAGCCACACCAATCACATCCAAACCTGAAGAGAGCTGATTGAAAAAACGTGGATGACCTGAAAAACATAAGTAAAGAAGACCTAGTGTATATATAGTTTTATAGTGTGGTTTTTTTCTGTTTGGGGTTTATATATGTGTTTTTATGCTTATGAGTGCATGTGTGTGTGTGTTATAAAATAATACATAATACTTTACTACTAAGGTTTGACATTTCTTGTGTGCATTTATACATCTCCAATAAAATAAAGACAACAAAGAATGTGATTAAAGATGTACAGTAACAGAAATGTCCTTCATTATTCCCTGTAACAGGGAAGCCTTGTTCCACCAGCAGTTCCGATTAAAAGGGTTTTTTCCTTCCCACTGTCACCAAAGGACCTGCTCAGAGGGGTCACATGATTGTTGAGGTTTTCCCTGTATTCTTTTAGGCTCTTCACCTTACAGTATAACGCACCTTGAGGCAAGTGTTGTTGTGATTTGGGGCTATATAAATAAAACTGAATGAAACTGAATTTATTTGATGTCTGACTATTGTCTAAAGAATATTTAATCAATTTCTTTCTAACAACCCACATTCTGTTAACCAATACTTTTTATACCTATAGTGGTGCTCTTAAGGCATCAGATTGTTTGTTTGGAAACACTGGCATAAAAAGAGTAACTTTGGTGCATGCATCATTTTACAGTATTTCGGCAGCTGTGCTTGGGTGTGCGCGTGCATGCATGGGTGCTTGAGTGCATTGGGTTTGGAGTGGCTGACTTGCCAGCATGCCACGAAGGTGCCTCTGACTTTTAAATGTTTGGCTCTTGGTGAGTGGGTTGGGTAAAGTAAATTCAGTTTCCCGATGAATAATGCATTGGCAATTTTTTAGACAGCATAGATAAAATGCATAAGGTTGATTAGAGTGGTGTAGTGGTGTCCTCGGGATTCCCATATTCTTGTTTGCCATTCACCTAGGGACCATTTTTGATCCAAGGGTTACAGACACAATTTTCTTTTACTGGACCTTCTCCACTCATGTCTCCTTGCAAGTCTCTTCAGTTAAAACATATCATCTCCATTAGAAGAAAAATTGAACCTGGATTTCTAATTTAGGATTGACGACTTTGTTGTTGACGACCGTGGCCCCCTGGCTCGTTACCCCCATCTGGTCAGAATTTCAGGGCAGTGGGAATATATTTTCTTAGAAAACTTGTGACATGCTCAATAATTACTTTATCTGCTGTATACGAAAAACACGGGAGAACTTGGACCAGGAACGCTTCGCTAATAAAGAGAGTTTCAATCAAGCAAAAACATTTTCAGTCTAGTCTGGTGAGATCTTAAAAACTCAATGTCACTATCATACACAGGACTGAGGATAACGGTGCTGATTGGAAGAGGAAATCTCATGGTGAAATTTTCCTTAGCCATAGAAGCAGCATCAGTGGTGAATATTATTAAGTATTTTATTTTATTTTTATTTTTAAGTGATGGCAGCTGAAATATTAAAGGTAAGGGCAGTGTTGGAAAATATGAAAGGTTTTTTTATAAATGTTTTTTTTTTAGCTTGTGGTTAATTTATAATGCTGCTATGCCACAAACTACTCCATAAGACACTGAAAAACAAATTGTTCCTTGCATTTTCCACAAATGACAGAGAACAAGGTCAGAAAGTACAAGTAATTGTGGTTCGATTGTGGCTCAAAAGTTGGGAGTTCGCCTTGTAATTGGAAGGTTGCCAGTTCGAGCCCCGGCTTGGACAATCTCGGTCGTTGTGTCCTTGGGCAAGACACTTCACCTGTTGCCTACTGGTGGTGGTCAGAGGGCCCGGTGGCGCCAGTGTCCGGCAGCCTCGCCTCTGTCAGTGCACCCCAGGGTGGCTGTGGCTACAATGTAGCTTGCCATCACCAGTGTGTGAATGTGTGGATGACTGGATATGTAAAGCGCTTTGGGGTCCTTAGGGACGAGTAAAGCGCTATATAAATACAGGCCATTTACCATTTAATATATTTTCCAACGCACTTCCTGCCATCAAATGTTTTAGAAAAAGTTCTTTGTACTAATCAGTGGGGAAAGCAAATATTTGCAGCCAAGGTTCATTAGGAAAATGTAGACTGCATAAAGAAGTTAGGTTTTGAGTCACAATGTGTAGAACCATGACTTGGTTCTTAATTCGCTGGAGCACTTGGCTTATTCACTGCTGTTTAGTGTGCTAAAAACCAATTATATTTTTCAAAATAAATACATAAACAATTAAGTATTAATAACAAGGACCTGCAAAAGCACTTCAGCAGATTGCATGGCACACTGAGCACATCTGAATCTCAAGTGATCCAGGTAACGTAATTTGCATAGAGACAAATCCTCCATTGTTGAGTGGAACAGAACTTCTTTGTTTTTTAAGTAGCAAAAGAAACACACATCTGTAGGTAAGAACTCAGACCTGACACGATAAACATATTTTAGTACTTCCCATACCTGTACTAACACCATATTTGAGGGTGTCTCTACAGTCCACTAGTAACTGCTCCAGAGTTTCTGGTTGTACTGGCAGGTCAAGACTGAAGCCCTCCAGTCCCTCCTTTAGCTGATGAGGATGATGGAAGTCCAGCACCTATATGGTAGATACTATTTTTTACATTTTAAAATCATACACATTTTAAATCCTACACATACATAAAAACATTTTCAATCATGTCAGTTTCGCTGGGATTTTAATATGGGGACTCATTCCTCTATCATTTTATTAAGAATTACATTTTTTGCCAGTAGGTAGAAGTGAAAAGTGAAAAACAGGATTAACAGCATACATGTGCTTTACATATATTACAAATAGACAAAGTGATTTGAAATTAATGACTATTATTTTAGTTTTTTAGATATTAAAGTAATTCTATAAACACAGAATAACCTGTAAAACTACTGTATATACACTACTGGCCAAAGGTTTTTAGAACACCCCAATTTTTCGAGTTATTTATTGCAATTCAAGTCGTTCAAGTTCAATGAATACCTTGAAATGGTACAAAGGTAAGTGATGAACTGCCAGAGGTTTAAAAAAAAGGTAAGGTTACCCAAAACCAAAAAAAGAATGTACATTTCAGAATTATACAAAAAGGCCTTTTTCAGTGAAAACAACGTGAGTCAACAATTTAAAGCTGTTCTGCAGTAGTGGAGGTTGATTAAGCCTTGAAAGCTGGTTCTACTAATTCCTACAGGTTTGTTGTAGTGTGTAGTGTAGTTGTAGTGTTTTGCTACAAAAATGGTGAGAAAAAGGCAATTAAGTAATGTTGATCCAGTGGTTGTTACTGGGAAAACAGTGTACAGTTCTAGTTGGGAAGATCCCCACAGAAATGCATATAGGTTAATTATGCAGTCTGTGATGCTGTTGACATATTCACCATTTGGATCACAGAGCGTGTCCCAGTCAGGAGTTATGCAGAGCCTTGCTGGTTTCCTGACTCCACCTCCTCACAGACTTGGTGACAACAGGAGTGTGCAAAACAGAAAGTCCATGTTTTACAGTCAAACACACTGCTGGAAAGTTGTCACAGTGGACTCCAGACTGGCATTACACTACTAAGAAGAATATTAGGACACTAATGGTTTACACTAAGGCTGAACGATTTATCGTTTTCTGATCAAAATTGCGATTTCAGACAAAGTGATCACGTGATCACCAAAACTGTGTTTTTTGTAGCACTCGTAACTGACCCAGGATCTGTAGTTTTTTTATGTTTTTTTTTTTAACACACACGTCATCTCTCTACCATCCTGCCAAGCTCACCAATCAGAAGTGGCATGCTACTGGACAAGTCACGCTAGCCAATCAAAACTAGCCGGCCCCTTACGCTTTGAAATCTGAACATGTGATGATGGCTTCAGCCGAACCAGAAGCGCAGTTAGGAGATTTCTACGGTGGCCCTGAGAGGCCAAACGGACTGCAACTTAAGAAAACACCAGCAATAAGAAAAACGCTGCAAAAGCACACAGAAAACAATGGAAATAGGAAAAACGACAACGGAATAGGAAAAAACAGATTTCCAAAAGCACAAGGGAAGTGTTTCTGGGAGACAATAACCCGGCGGACCAGTTGCAGGAACCCAAAACATGGTAGGTGTGCTTTATAATGATTCATATAATACTAATGACAGATTTTTAGGCTAATAGTTAGGCTAACACACTTACCTCTCATCTTTTCTTTCCTCACAAAACCGATAGATCCTCCACTTCTCTTAAGTGTCTCCCATCGCAATTCTTAGCATATTTTGGTCATCAGTATTATATGAATCATGATAAAACACACCTATCATGTTTTGGGTTCCTGGAACAGGTCCATCAGGTTATTATCTCCCAGAAACACTTCCCTTGTGCTTTTGGAAATCAGTTTTTTCTTATTTCTGTTGTAATTTTTCCCATTTCCATTGTGTTCTGTGTGCTTTTTCAGCGTTTTTCTTATTGCTGGTGTTTTTTTTAAGTTGCAGTCCGTTTGGCCTCTCAAAAACCAGCATGTTGGTCATTTGGGAGTATTGCGGGTTTGAGGCTGCAGATGTGCACCAGAAACAGGTACTGTGCAACACCTGTTGCATTAAAGTTGCAACATGTAGCGGAAACATAACCAACTTATACTGACATTTGAAAAATCACCACAGGCATTTGCATGAAGAGTGCATGACAAAAAAGTCTGCTGAAAAGTCTAGTGAAAGTGGCGCTCAGGTTCATTGTAGCAAACAGTCTATAATTACTGCATCTTTTGATAGCTGAACTCTGTTTGATGAGAGCAGCAAAAGATATCAGGCCATAACAAATGCCATAACATATTACATTGTCAGGGACATGGTGTTTGTTAACACGGTCACTAAATACAGATTTAAAAACCTCTTTTGCATGTTGTACAGAAGATATGTGATACCCTCCCGCATCTACTTCAGCCAGGTTGCCATCCCACAGCTATATGCAGAGTGTAAAGAAAAAGTGGTAACAGAGCTGAAAAATGTAGAGTAAGAATGCACATGCATGTTTCTTGTTAATAAATACATTTGAAAGCACTTCTTACCTTTAGTTTTCATCCTTACATCATATTAATAGCTTTTAATGCTCTGATGGTATGATGTCATCTTCTGTGATGTTTGTAAATCTTACTGTACATTGTGAATTTTGTGCTGAAGCTTAATTTGAAGAATATCATGAATTGAATTGAAATCATAATTAGATCATTTCTAAAACTGTTCGGCCCTAGTTTACATATTAGTCTATCAAGGGAAAGATCACGAGTTGTATTCCAGGAGAAGACACAATCCCTTTAGGGTTGCACCAGGAAGAGTATTTGACAAAAGAAACAAAAAAAAAGTTTGGCAAATTAACCATGTGCCTGATCTGGCAAGCACTTGTGAATAGGGGTACTGCTGTATTCTGAATCACGTACAGAGAAAGCTACTTTGATCAAAGTACAACTGTTTAAAGTAATAATAGAAACAGTACCTTAGAGCTCCTCTGATTAGACTTGCAGATAAAACCCAACAAGATGCCGACCAGTTCCTGCAGAAATCCTCTGGTCATCTCCTCACCGCCTGAAGCTGGGAGCAGGTCTGCGCACAGACACACACACACACACACACACACACACAC